TGTGAGTAATAAAATACAAGCAGCTTTATAAGGAAGAGCCACTGAAGGAAGATATAAAAACTGTATTTTTATTTGATTATATGTAATGTTAGAAAGTTATCCTATTTCCCAACATCTCATGACACTACAGTGCAAAGTCTCAGTCTAGGAGGACTTAGAAATGTTTCTTTCTTTGTCTTTTATTTATTTTTTGACAAGGTCTCACTATGTAGCTCAGGTTGGCCTGGAACTCACTATGTAGACCATGCTGGCCTCAAACTCACAGAGATCTACTTGTCTTTGCCTCCTCAGTGGTGGGATTAGAAGTTGTGGGTCACCAAACCAAGCCCATGTTCATTTCTTTTGATCCCTGATAGTTTCTTCCTTTTAAAAAATTATTTCATTTATTTTATTTTGTTTTATGTGTATGACTGTATTGCCTGCATATATATAAGTGCATCTGTGTTGTGCAATGCCTGCAGAGGTCAGAAGCGGATGTCAGATCCCCTGGAACTGGACAGTTGTAGACAGTTGTTAGCCAACATGTAGGTGCTGGCAACTGAACCCAGGTTCTCTGCAAGAACCGGCCAGGGCTCTTAACCCCTGAGCAATCTCTCCAGTCCTATATATTATGTTTTAGAAACATGTTCATGCAGATGACACGGGCTGGGTTTTTTTTTGTTCTTGTTTTTGTTTTTGTTTTTTAGTTTTGTTGTTGTTTCATGGGATTTTATGTTTTCTTTAAATCTTAAAAAATTTAAAATTATGTGTATGTGTTTCTGTGTGAATGTGCCTATGAGCACAGGTGCGTGCACAAGCCAGGGATGTTGGATTCCACTGGAACTAGAGTTAACAGGCACCTGTGAGCCACCCAAAATGTGTCCTGGAAACTAACATGGGTCCTTTGCAAGAGCAGTCTGTGTTTTTAACCACGCCATCTATGCAGCCCCTTGATTTTATTTTTGAGACAGTGTCTTATGTAGCCTAAGCTGGTCTTGAATTCATTATACACCCAAGGCTGGCCTTGATTTTCCTGACTTCATTGCCCTAAGTACTGAGATTACAGGTGTGTGTCATCAGGCCTAGGTATGATGGCTGTGCTGAAGGTAAGAGTGAGAAGTGATGCTCTGGTAAACTTCAGTTATCCATGGACACACCCAATGTACCCTTATTAACAAATACTCCATTGGGAAAATGGATGGAGGAAAGGAAGACATGCAGTCTTTACATCTTTGAACTTAAGTCCATTTGCAAGGGCTGAGCACAGAGGCACACAGCTATAATTTCAGCACTCAGGGATCATCTCAAGCTCAAAGCCAGTCTAGGTTACATAGTGTGGTTCACAATGAGCCTGGGCTATATAATAAGAGCCTGTCTGAACAAAAGAAAAGAAATAAAATAAAA